TCATGTTAAAATGGGACAAACGCAAAGCACATATTCCCAGGTGAAAATAGTAAACAAAAACTTTATTAATAGAAACATTAATAATGCCACATTAATATAATGTTTTAAACTAACTTGATTTATATTGAATAGTAAATTTCATTTATAGTTGTTGAATACATTTATATTGTATTCAATTAATTAATTGAATATCTTATATAAGAATGTGATTAATATTAAAAATGTATTTCACTAAAATCTACATGATACTCTAATTTTAATAACATTTACTCAATTACAGTAATCTACTACAGTATTAAATAATAAAGTAATACTGTCGTAGAAATAATTATTTGAACAATCATTATTAGATAAAAAAGCAAAATTGTATTTTGAACTAACCTAATTATTTAATCAATCTATTTTATAGTCATTTCTTAAAACCAGTAAATAGAATATAATTGAGCTACTTAAAACATTTAAAAAATGATTGACATTTATCAATTACTGAGAATAAGCAAGGTTAATCTAACAATTAGGCAATTTTCTCAATTCCGACAAAAATACGCTTGGGATAAATCATTTGAATAGACCGTTGATATTGCAACGGGACGTCCGTTTTGGGAGTCCTGACGAACTGATACTTCAACACCATATGAGCCAAACATATCTTGATTTCTAATAACGCTAATCGCATCCCAACACAATTACGAGGGCCGCCCCCGAAGGGCAGGTATGTATACGGCTTAATAAGATGTTTATTCTCGGGCATAAATCTATCAGGGTCATACTTAAAAGCATCGGGATAATTCTCATCGGACAGGTGTATGGCGTAGCCGGGAATCTCTATCTGTTGCCCGGCCTTCAAAGTAATACCCGTATCGCCTAACCTATAGTCAGCGGACGGGTACCTAAACAGGGAAAGAGGTGCGACGTGTAGGCGCAGGGTTTCCGACACGACGGCATCCAAATAGGGTAGTCGTGCCAACACCTCGTACGCTATCTCACCGGTGGTGGCGCTAATAGCGTCTGAAATCTCGTGGCGTAGGCGGCGCTGACAGTCAGGGTTTAAAGAGAGCTCGTATGCCGTAAACGCTAGTGTCGTTGTGATCGGCACTATCCCGCCCCTCATGAATACGTATCCCTGAGCGACGACCTCGTCCTCCGTCAACCGTTTGTCCCTAATCTTAATGTCCATCACTTTTCGCTCGACGGCTAACGACTTCTCGCCTTTTGAATGGATTTTATTTTATATTGAATTTTATAATTAAAAACTATTTTTATAAAATAGTAAATTCATTTTTAAAGTTTGTAGTAATCTACCCTGTTGAAAGTGTAAGCACAGTAGCAGTTATTTGATAAAAATCACTAGAATAGCTACAAGTGTAGTTTTCACAAATATATTTTAAAAATAATTAAATAAGCTATTTCATATCTTATACGATACTGAAACGATATGAAATTACAATTATTGAAATTAGAATTATATTTATAACCATTTCACCAAGTATAAATTTATAAATTTAAAATTATAATTATCTACATTAAATAAAAATTAACTTGCAGTTAAAACTAATTCTACCTAATTATCTTTTACATACCTTGATTAACATGATGCATTTCACTATTATCCTGAGTGGTGGCACTACCATCGCCAGGCTTTCTATCGGTTACCTCAGCATCCATAAGCATCTGAACAAAATCGTGATGTTTTTTACCCGGATTATCGCGTCTATCCTTCAATAGATGGCGGATGACGTTTTGGTAAAATTTAGTCGCTTTCTTATCCCCCAAACCTTTGAGGACAAAATTTGGTAACACTAGTGACGCCATCTCTTTCCAGCCCTTAAACACAAACTCTTCTCTCGCGTGAAAAACAAACGGGTGTTCACTAGTAGTGTCGCCATCTGTCGGAGATTTATACAAATCTAGTTTTGTAGAGAAAATGGTAGTGGCATTCACATCTAGCAAATACTTGCTAAACGTATCAATCATGTCTAATTCTTGGCAATTTTCACCCAGCACGTCCAAGTACTTCATGA